AACATCCTAACCACCAGTAAGGTAATTAATGCTCTTGAGCATCTACCAAACTTGAGATGGAAGTGGGACTGAGAGAAGGGCCTCTTCTGAAGAGCGCAGGGCCCTGACAGGTTTGTACAAAGGGATGTAGTCAGTCAAGTAGCCTGGACCTGGGCCATCTAGGGCTTTAAAGGTCATAACAATTAACCATCACTTTGAATTGTGCCCAGAAACAAACTGGCAGCCAGTGGAACTGGTGCAAAAAAGGAGGTTGTCCACCTCCTGTAGCCAGCCACAGCTACAAAACTGGCTGCAGCTCTTTCGACTATCTGAAGTTTCTGAACACTCTTCAAATCCAGCCCCATGTCGAATGCATTACAATAATCTAAATAGGATGCAACTAAGGTATGTACCACCGTGGCCAGATCTGACTTCTCAAGAAATTGGGACAGTCAGCATACAAGTTTTAGTTGTGCAAAGGCCCTCCCAGGCACCACTAACACCTGGGCCTCCGGGTTCAGTGCTGAGTCCAGGAGTACCCCCAAACTGCAGAACTGTGTCTTCAGGGGGAGTGTAACCCCATCCAGCACAGGCTGGATCCCTATTCCCTGGTCTGCCTTCTAACTGACAAGAAATACCTCTCTCTTGTCAGGATTATGTTTGAATTTGTTTGCCCTCACCCAGTCCATTACTGATGACAGACACTGGGTAAGGATTCTTTGGCTTTAGTAGAAGAATCTTCTACTAAAAGTGGCACCACATTCCAAAACTCTGGATGACCTCTCCCAGTGGTTTCATGTATATGTTAAATAGCATGGGGAACAAAACAGTTCCCCCGAGGAACCACACCAGACAATGACCAGAGGTTCAAAAAGGAGTTCCCCGGCATCACCTTCTGAGTAGGGCCGTCCAGGAAGGAAAAGAGCTACTGTAAAACGGTGCCTCCCATTCCTATCCCAGTGAGATGGCCCAGGAGGATATCATGGTCAATGGTATCAAAAGCTACTAAGAGAGAGTACTACATTGCTGCTAATGCAACATGGTTTCCATGCTAGAAACAGCTGCTGCTGTTCAATCAGAAATGGTGAAGAATTTTGTTTCAATTGAAATGAATATGCAATTTAACAGTATGTTTGTCTCTTCATATCTCTGATAGAAACAATTTGAACTTTAAAAAGATTTCTATTTCTTATTATACATTCTTCGTGGTGTGCTGTAATTGGCTCCTGAATTTGTTGGCATCCTAACTATCACCATGGTGTGAGTTAATGTCACAAGTACAATATTATGATGTGCAAAGATGATTTAAGAACACTCCTTTCCCAGTCAATGGGCATACCCTGTGTTTGTAACATAACAGTTCACTGTTCATTTTTTTATATTTCTTAATTTTTAGAGTATCGAGTACTTGGATAAATTTAAAATCATATTTATTCTGTTTCATCCTACAGAATATGGTTTATTTATGAGTTTTAAACTGCACAATGTTGCTTTTGCATCTGCCTGGAGTTTACATAATTTCTTTTGTTATTGTTGTATATAATACAATACAGACTTGTTTCATTTCATTCCTCCATATAACTAGCCTAGCCAATTTATTGGGGAAAGGTCTTTTTACATTATTTTTTTTAAAAAATACTTTAATTATCTAAATAAAAATAATCAGCATAAAATTTCTACACAAGGTTTTTGATAGGGTTAATCAGGCAACTTAATGTATTAGTTTTATTTTATGGCCTTAAAGCTTTAATGTGTACACAAAACCAAAACATTGCTTAGAACACCCCATCTATTTTCCCAATATGAGAACAGACAAAGCAAAGAAAACAACTCCTTTCAAGGAGCTAATAAAACTCAAATGACAATATATATCATCATTTAAAGATTTGGCAGAAATTTCATAGGACTATTTTGCTGCTATTTTGCCAAAAATAATAGAAAAAGAAGATTTTAGTGGAAAATATTATATCTTGCAACATGAAGGTCACGTTATTGAACTAAAATAGAGAAGGACAAAAGCAAAAACAAACATCAACCACAGAGTCATCTATAAAGTGTCCCCATATTGCTTTTTGTTAAAGTCGCACTTGTCATGAAATCTATATAACAAAAAATATTAAAATGAATGCTGCATTTTTACATTCTGTTATTTATGAATATGTGGCACAAAATAGAAAATGCTTCACAAAACACAAGACTATTGGAAAAACAGTTGAAGTTAAATTATTCATTTCACAAAGGAGTACGAATAATTTAATCAGTTTTCTCCACTTGTAAGAATGCACAGTTTTAAGAGATGTTTTCTAGAAGGGAGAAAATGCCATGTCCTGTTCTCTCCAAAATGTCTAGTGGCCAAGAATGTGTGAGAGAGATGGCAGTCAAGGATCCTGCCAACTATGTTCCAATAGCCACCATATGAAAATGGCATTGCCTCTGGAGAACCCATAGGAGGATGGAGGATGCTTGTTCCATTCAGCTGGAAGGCGATCTGTTTTTGTCATCTGAATTTTGTTGGGCACCCAAATCTGTTTTTGGGAGCCTTCCAAATATTGGCTAATGGAAATATCTGGTTTTGGCTAGGCAGCTGAAAAATCCAGGAAGATCTGGCCAATTGACGGCAGTGGGGAACTTATAAAGCTCCTTTTTCTGTTTCTGGGATCCTTTACTTTCTTCTTTTCGAGAGTCTGAGTTTGAGCAACAGGGTTAAAGAAGCACCCTTCCTGGGACTCTTTCTTTTCTTGCCATCAAGGGACTCTGGGTTTTAGCAGTGAGGTTAAACAATCATCCTTCCTGGGACCCTTTCCTTTCTTGTCTTTAAGGGAGTCTGGTTTCCAGCAACAGGGTTAAGGAAGCACCCTTCCTGGGACCCTTTCCTTTCTTACTTTCAAGGAATTCTGGATTTGAGCAATAGGATACCAAACAGGGGAGGAGGAGCTGTGATTGGCTGCCACATGGTCCTGTGATGGACAAAAAAAACATGATGGCTGGTCCCTTAACTTTATGGCCATCCAACCAAGCCGAACTAGCCGGATTGGCCAAAAGGAACTGATCACTCTGGATCTGTGCACAAGCCTAATGCCTCCTCCATTACTCAGAGCATAGGAACTCAGGGAAATATTTTAGAATAAATCAGACCATAGGTTCATCTTCCTCCAAGTTTTGGAGGAGCTCCCTATTTTCTAATCACTGGGTTGGATCTGACTAGGCAAAATTGCCCACTGCCATTTCAGCTAAAATCATTACAAAATATCCATCAGTATTTCTGCCTGCATCAAGGGAGTGTAGTACAACTATAGAATCAATAAATACATAAATAAAGTGTGTTTAATAGTGTGTTACAAGACAACATGGTGTAGTGGTGCTCCTTACATATAGTGTGGTATATGCCAGGAGCAGAGAAATTTAGGTTCAAATCCCTATCCTGCCAATATAATCACTGGCCATCCTTTCACTCGATGCTTAATCAACTTTGGAGTCTTATTGGGAGGGTAAAGGAAGAAAGGATCCTTGTATACTGGCTTGTACGTTTTGGAGGAAATATGGAATATAAGTATAATTCAAATATGAAAGTGGAGTGGGTGAAATTCATAGCTCTCCTTGGTATCTGTACAGAAGTTTTGCCAGCAAGTTGCAATCTTTCTTTGATGGACAGCAAAATGCTTTATGTAAAAGGCATGCTTTGTTAGTACTTAGATACCTCATTTAACAACCACGGAAGAGAAGCATTCCCCAACAACCCATCCACAGTTGGCCAACAAATGTAATACAATGAAAAAATAACGAAGAAGTAATTATTTGTGGTTAATAAATGAACACACATATTTCAATAGAATAATAGGGGGAATTAAATGGAGATCACTAAGAGCCTGAAGTCAAGGACCCCAAATCTGTCTTTGATTTTAGCATTTGCCCTCCACGTGAGCCGTGCCACATTACTGAACCCAATGGAATGTTCAGCTCTCACTAAGTGCTTGAATGTGGCCACATTTCTCAAAATTTATAGGCTGGTGAGGGAAACTGTGCTGGCTAAAATCATGTTTCAAGAAAGTTGTTAACATGAGTCAAACCTCATACAGGCAAGCCTTTAATTTTACTTTAACAAAAGCCTGATGTGATTTTGATCATTCTTCCTGGAAAAAACCTGATAACCTGTATACAAGATCTTTCCGAATGCTTTTCTTTTAGACATTTAACCAATAGGTTTGCTAGTCAATAAATTCACCTTTATTTCATCATGCCCTAAGTTTGGCTTCTCTTCAACAAAGTAAACAGTCCATACATGCATAAAATTAATCAAAGAAACCAATGTTATCATAAATAACTGAAGGCATCTTGGATTTAGCAGCATTATTAGCATGTGATTAATAAGCAGCTAATGAAAACCAGCTCCTGTAACGCATTTGTTAAGATACTTTATCTTACTTCAAAGTTCTGCAGAGCAAAGTTTGCAGCCATTGTTAAGACTCCTGATTTAGTTAGGAATACATTGTTAAAGTGCCATCTGGTCAAACAGCTGACAGACTTCAAACATATCAGACCCCATTTGTTCCTCCTGGGAAATATATGGGTTGTGTAATGATTAGGCCAGTTGATAGTGGTTTTAATCTAATCCAACCACATTCAGCTTTGTTCCATGCACTTCATAGTGATCACCATCATCACCACCATCATCCAGCCTCAGGACAAAACTATGATGGTTTTGGTGCTGGGGTTACTGAGAATTAAAAGAGAAGGATCATTAAGTTTGGAGAAATGCCATGGTTTGCATTACTGTGTATGTGGGGGAGGAATAAACAGGCACCCAGAACTGTTTGGTGATGATGGAGCATATTCATGGCCACAGGTGGCTTAATGTCAGGAAAGGTATCGATGGAAAACTAGCAAGGAGAGAGAAGGCATTTATTATTCCAAAAGAAGACAAAACTGACTAAAACCATAATCTGAAATACTTTACATCTTTACATTACTATATTTTCATTTCTATAACAACAATACCAACAATAACCATACATGTCACTTACTTGAGGGCCAGGTTGACCCTGCAAAGGAAAGAAAAGGAAGAATTAAAAAGGTGCAGATTTATTTGCCAAAAATACAGTGATCTCAGCTTTTAACAAAAGAATGAGCAGTTAGAATTTTATAAGAGAACAATAAAGGCAAACTGCAGAGCCAAATCCCAGAGTCTATGAACTCTTGGTTAAAATGTCAATTAGTGCATTGGTTAAACATAGCAGATACACAAGGGACTAACAGAATTATTTCAACAAGGAACTTTGGTTAAGAAGGTATTTATTTATAGGTTCTATTAAGTTTAAAGTAATCCAGAAGCATGTTCAGTTTGCAATATGTGGTAAAGGAACAGGATGATTATATTTTCAAAAAGTGCTCTTAATGACTAACTTAAATGCATTTTTCAAAGTGACATAATTGGGGGGGAAAACAGACATTTACAACTACTTGATACTTCCCATAGCAAGTTATGAACCCCAAACCACAATATTCTAGAGTTAGCATCTTAGGCTGGAGCCCCCACTGGTGCAATGGTTTAAACCCTTGTGCCGGCAGGATTGAAGACTGACAGGTCGAAGGTTCGAATTTGGGGAGAGCACCGATGAGCTCCCTCTGTCAGCTCAAGCTCCCCATGCAGGGACGTGAGAGAAGCCTCCCACAAGGATGGTAAAACATCAAAAAACATCTGGGCATCCCCTAGGCAATGTCCTTGCAGACAGCCAATTTTATCACACCAGAAGTGACTTGCAGTTTCTTAACTTGTTCCTGACATGAAAAAAAATCTTAGGCTGGAACTAGTGAACATTGCAGCAGGGCCTTAAAACATATTCCTATAAATTATTTCATTGCAAAAAGTAAATATTGATAACTAGTTTAGAAACAACGATAGGCTTGTAGATTGTATGCAACCCCTCTTGCCATGGGGGGGGGGGGATCTAAAATTACAATGTCATTCTCCAGATCCAAGAGGTCTCTAATTAGATGTTAGATTTAATTTGTTATTTCTGTAAATATTATTGTCTCATACAAAGGTGATATCATATCACACGCTTGGGACATTTGTCTTAGAAACTGTATATACTGTTTTCGTAAGGTATGATTTCTCAAATTATTCAAATCATTATTTTGCATTTTAACTGAGATTCTAACATTACTTGGCACTGAAAAAACATTCAGTGAGACAAATATAAATTGGCCATATATTCAAGAACCACAGTGCAAAAATAATGAAACCAAGCATTGCATATTGCTTAAAATTCAGAAGTAGGAAAGAAGCCAAGGAGATGGTCTATTAGAAAATTATAATAGGAAGATATAAAGAATTTATATGTTCCTTCAATATATGAACCAATGGAATATTGTGGTACCCATAGTATAGAGATGTAGAAATGGGTAAATTAGTGCAAAAAGATCAAAACACTGCATTAATCATCAATACATTGAAGTACGGTGAGCCTTGGTTCAAGGTCCCCATGGATAAAGAAAATCCATTTGTGCTCAAATTAATTACATAAAATGTACTGCAATATAATAATTTTATTTGTGTGTATATATATATACACACACACATACTTGTAGACACATATTACTTTCCAACCACATTCCTGCAACTTGGAACTTTACATGGTTGAGTTCTGTGTGCTGCAATGTTGGAAAAAGACAAATATTAACCATATATTACTCAATGACCAAAAAGCTTCACTGCTTTACAATGAAGATATATCCTACTGAAGCCAACTCTTAAGATATCTTAGGGTATACTGCTAGTATATACTAATGTATAAATCAGAAATGACTTGAAGATAAAGAATAATTTGTTTCAAAGCATCAAAGGACACTTTGCTGAGGACTGAAGATAGGTATAAAGATTTTAATGACCAGATAGCATTTTATAGACAATTTTATGGTATCACATTTATCCCAGTTTGGAATACGACACGCAAGTTGATGGCTTCAATTTCAGTGTGTCAGTGGATTACAGTTTGAACCTTAAAGAAGTTATCCAACATTCTGCATCTGTTTAAAGATGGCTTTCAGCAACTTTAAAGTTCAGGCTAACAGCAAGAATGGATTTAGTGCTCCACTGGTATGAGAGCCAACAGTCACTAATGGAATATATAGCTTTTGTTAAGACATATCTCAGCTTTTATCACTGGTAGACAATAAACCAATAATATTCTGTTAACAGGTGTAAACGAAAGCAGCCAGTCTTTCTGTATCTCAAAAGCTTTGAAAATAAAATTGTAGTGAAATTCTTTGGAGAAAATAAGCTTTGACTTTAATGCTTCTTTGAAAATTCTACCTTAAAATAAGCAGAAATAGTTTTTACATTATCTGTGGGTGGGTTTCAATATGTTGGTTTGTAAATCAGTGTTAATTATTATTCAATAATTACCATAAATGGGGAAACAAATTAATTCTACACATTGAGTATTCTTGTGGAATTTTGTAACCTAAATTTTATAGATTTTATATGTGGTGTCAAGTCTTACATGTATTCTAGCATTAAATATTTTAGATTTAACTTCTGACTTTTGAAAAGTGGAAGACTATCAAACTGACCAAAAATTCTGAATGATTATTTTCAGTTGAATTTGGGCAACCCAACTGTTAGCCCAAAGAGACTAAACCTGTTGGAAGAACTAGACTGATCAGGTTCTTATTTATTCAATGGGTCTTTTTAAACTGGAACTTATAATTGTACGTAGAAATATGTCTCTTGACAGTAGCCAATTGTGGATTGTATTCAATTCTGTATTATCATGAAGAAAAGAGAAAAGTTCATGAAAAAGGCCCAGTTTGGGGGAAGGGGTAAAAAAGGCACCTACCAGCTTTCCATCCAAACCAATTGGACCCTAGGATACCCAAAAAGCCAAAACAACATAAAACTGTTAAATCAAATGACTGCAAATTTGTGGAATAGTTTAGGGTATTATTTGCTGAATGGTAGCAGTTAGATGTTATTTCTTTCCTCAGGGCATCTTCGTCACCAAGGCTGAGAGACAAGAACAGCAGCAGAAGCAAATATAGAAAGGTATTAATCAGAACAGGATGTTGGAAAGTTACCAGGCGGCTGTTTGTGTGTAACAAGAAGGAGTTCAGGAAAGCTAGACTTGAAGCCATGAATGTATTTTGCAATGCAATATATGAAATAATGCATCTGGATTTTGTATTTCTTTTTGAACAATTAGGTAGCTGGATGATGTAAGTCCAGGACTGTAAGGCTGTTATCGCAATTATGGTTTTGGGAGCAAATGTCAAGTGCAAGCATGGCTCTCAGTTCTTGGATGTAATTCAATTTTTAGTTGCAGTCATTAAAATGATTCCGATTATGAAAGAAAGGTTGTCCAATTGTTCATTTTTGAATGCCTGACTGTCCAACCTTATACATATATATTCAGGAGGAAATTTCATTCACTTCAGTTAGACTTACTCCCAGATGCAATACAATATAAAAATACATAAATAAAAGATTACAACTGAAATATTTCAGTATGACCACCATTTGTAAAAACAGGAAGACTTCTGAAAACCTTCATACTTGACAGAGACTACTGTATCACTGATTACTGGTTATGGATATGACAGTTTGATACCTTTTAATGTACAATAGACAGACACTAAGACAGCGTGATAGAGTGGTTTGAACATGGGACTAAGATCTTGGAGACCAGAATTTGAATTCCCACTCTACCATGGATACAGACTGGGTGACCTTGGGCAATTCTGTCTTTGAACCTCAGCCTCACAGGCAAACCACTTCTGAACTAGACTGATCAGGTTCTTATTTATTCAATGGGTCTTTTTTAACTGGAACTTATAATTGTACATAGAAAACCCAGTGGTAAGTTTGCCAAGAAAACCCAGTGGTAAGTTTGCTTTTGAATCACCATAAATTGGACACTAAGACTTGAAGGCATGCAGCAACAGCTAAATTTAGAAAGTGAGAGGTATTAATTTTTGAGATCTGATTTTCTATTGCTGGAGCTCAGAATCTTACCTGTTATTCATCATTCATCATGCTATTATTAATCATTTGGAATTAGACAAGTACCAAATTATTCAAAGAACAAATGAAGTAAACAGAGGGATTGTTTTAAATGTCAAATATTCTACAAGATAATTTATGTTGACAGCTGGATCTAATAAACAGAACAATAAAAGATCAATTGTGTTGGTTTGCATCTCAGAGTCTCATTGGATATTTTTTAAAGTCCTCTCTTTTTGCCCTATTTTTTAATATTTCAAGAGTTCCGCTTTACTCACAGCATTATTCATCTATATACAATATAATCATGACCCTGACATTTAAATACAGAGGAAGAACAGTCATTGTTGAAGTTATTGTTTGATTTGAATCTTTGAACTTTATCCCAAAGATTCTTGATATTTAAGCCATCAACTCAAGTAGACTGTATCTCCTTTCTGCCTTTGGCTGATGTTCCTACCACATTCTAAAATCCTATTTTTATCACTAAATTTCTTGCAGTAGTGTTATATTGGTTAATTTTACTGAAGAAAATAAATATTAAGAATTTAGGACAGGGGTCCTCGAACTAAATGCCCAGGGGCCGGATATGGCCCTCCAAGGTCATTTACCCGGCCCTCACTCAGGTTCAACGTAAGTCTGAAACGACTTGAAAGCACACAGCAACAACAACAACAACAACCCTATCTCATCAGCCAAAAGCAGGCCCACACTTCCCATTGAAATACTAATAAGTTTATATTTGTTAAAATTGTTCTTCATTTTAATTAGTGTATTGTTTTTAGGTGTTTTTTGCAGTACAAATAATACATGTGCAGTGTGCATAGGAATTCATTCATGTTTTTTTCAAATTATAATTTGGCCCTCCAACCGTTTGAGGGACTGTGACCTGGCCCTCTGTTTAAAAAGTCTGAGGACCACTGATTTAGGATCTCATTCTGCCCAACATCCTTTTGAGGGCCCTTGCAGACAGGCCCAAAACACGGGACCTGGTTTACCTGAGGTGTCCAAATTATGCCTCAGGTAAAAGCAAATTAATGC